TTCAAATCCCAGCTATGTAATTTCTTGGCTACAGGGTTCTCAGTCCTTGATTGCTTCCTCTGTCAAATGGGGATAATAACAACTACTTCACAGGGCTCTTGTGAGAATTAAATAGCAAAGAAGACACTCAGGGCTTTAGGTCTTGGGTATCTGGGGTCTTCCACCTATGGTGAGACCTTGAACAATTGACATAATCTCTAAACTTTACTTTCCTCACCTGGAAAATAAGATAATAATAGTGACTCCTCCGAGTTGCACTGTGGGTTAAATGAGATGTGGCTAGAAGAAAATGTAAAACAAGACCTGGTCCAGAGAAAGACGGAAGAAGATATTAGCTCCAGTGCTGCTTTGGGTGTGGTCATGGAGCACGAGTCTTGCACTGTATTTGATTCCAGCCTGGGCCATGGACCAGCCGCATGGTGGTGACTGCATCTCGTGTCCCAGTTGCCTCCTCTTAAAATGGGGATAATAGTAACATGTGCCTTGTGGGTTTAGAAAGAGGATTAAATAAGATAATACATGTAAAATAGTTGGAACGGTACCTGGCAGCTGGTAAGTGCTCTATAAATGTTCATTATTACTAGCATTGATGATTCCCATTTCCTTTCCCTTTCCTGGTGTCTGTGGGATTTTCTGCTCCTGTCTAGGCAAAGACAGCCTGGACTGAAGGCCAAAGTGGCTAAGTCTCTGAATGCCGCTGGCCTGAGGCCTCTGGGCCCAGAGCTCTGGCCTGATTCCTTCACGTGCCTCCTTATCCACAGCCTCCAGCCTCTGGCTCTGCCTCTTCAGAGTGGGCCCAGGGGCCTGGGGGGCCCCATTTTAGAGCTGGCTTTGCGGTCAGGCAGCCGTAATCTGTCCCTCGAGCCACACCAGAGTCTCATTAAAACGTGCCCCATAAATGTTAAAAAATTTACACATAAAAAAATTCCATGCATGAAACTGAAACCGTACTTTTTACAGCCACGGTTTGAAATCTTGCATAATATATAAAACCTTGGCCCTGCACCGGGGGCCCGTAAATCAGATTTTATAAAACAAAAAGCTTTTACGTTTCAAAGGGTTTTGGGGAACTTGCAAATTTTACAAACTTTACCAACTGCCAGTCAGAGGCTGGTGGGCCTGAGGAGGGGATCTGTGGGCCCAGCTAAGGAATTGGCCTGGTGAGCCCCTGTGACTGTGGGAATCGGAGTGGAGGGAGTGAAGGATGGAGCCGGCCTTTCCCAGGGGAGCCAGTCAGGGGCACTGCAGTTTGACCACCATGAGGGTGGAAAGCCACCCTCGTCCTCTGGAAATGGGGAGTTACAGTATGGGTGCAGGGAAAGAGAGATCGGGGGCACTTTTATTTGCAAATGAAGGAGTGGTGGTGTGATGTTGTGGGCAGAGCGGAGGATCAGGAGTCAGCTGACCTGGGTTCTGGTCCTGGCAAGTCACTTCCTTCTGTGAACTTACATCCCAGGCTATAAACGGAGGTAGGATGTGCTTCTCCCTAGGGCTTTTTGTTTGTTGGTTTGTTTTTGAGATGGTCTCACTTTGTTGCCCAGGCTGGAGTGCAGTGTCATGATCTCGGCTCACTGCAACCTCTGTCTCCTGGGCTTAAGCAATTCTCATGCCTCAGCCTCCCGAGGAGCTGTGACTACAGACATGTACCACCACACCTGGCTAATTTTTGTACCTTTAGTAGAGACGAGGTGTCACCGTGTTGGCCAGGCTGGTCTCGAACTCCTAGCCTCATGTGATCTGCCTGCCTTGGCCTCTCAAAGTGCTGGGATTACAGGGGTGAGCCACTGTGCCCGGCCCTCTCTAGGGCTTTTCCCTCTAATGGTTCATGAATCTGTTTCTTCTCTGGTAGGGGTGCTGTGGGAGCAGGTGGCTAATGCAGGGGGGGAGGTTCCTGCTGAAATCTACAATCTGAGAACCTCTCTGATCTTCAGGGCAGCCCTGGGTGACTGTGGGACACAGAGGAGTGTGGTACAGGGCAACTTGCTCGGGGGACAGGGAGGTGGCCAGCTGGGGATGGGGAGGATTTGAGTTCAAATCGGGGGCTTGGTGGGGCTGGAGACTACAGGCTTACAGCGCCTGAGAGAAAGCAGGGCCCGAGTGGGGCTTGAGGACCCTGGGGGAGAGAAGTACTTCCAAGGGACAAAGTTTTTGGGGACCCAAGTGCCCTGACAATCCCTGTGAAAGTCAATATTCAAGGGCAAAGGAAAGCCGCCCTGACACACATATATATAAAAAATAAATCTCTCAATTATCTCAGCTCATTTGCTTGGGGTCTCTCATTTTATGTCCCTGCTCGGCTGCGCAGTATATCTGTCCGGATAAAGAGTTACAGTCCGTTGGGCTACGTGTGCGGGATTGTAAAAAATACAGATGCCAAATTAACTGGCTGTGGCACTCGGCAGCTGATTGAGCTGATAATGACGCGATCTGACCTTTTTCTAATTTCTAATTATGTGCATCTCGGCTGTGCTGGCTACATGATTCTTGTTCTAATGATGGCTCCTGCAGTTGGCCTCTTTATCTCCCCCTTCCTGACACAGGACCAGGGGTGGGGGTAGCAAGGGGCACTGCTTGACTCCCCACATCACGTTTTAGGGTCCCGGCCGCATGGTCTCTTTGGTGGCCAGGATGTGAGGTTGAGGAACTGGAGCACTTTGTCGGAGGGGCCCTGCACTTGAGACTAACCTTCCAGATGCCAGGCATTTTTAAAGGCCATTTCCCAGAGCCATCTCATTAATTTTATATTACCATTACGCGAGATAGGTGTGTTAGATCTACAGATGAGGAAACCGAGCTTCAAAGGAGTTAAGTCATCCAAATCACACAGATAGTAGTGGTGAGGCTCAGAGAGCGCTCTTTCAAATCTCTCCATTTACATAATCAGCCAGTCAACCAGTCATTGACCATGGCTAACTCAACTAGGTAAATCAGGTGCACCCAAGTAGATGGAATGTCCAAGCTTTGCTGCACTGGCTGGACACTCCCAGCTCAGTGCCTGAGGTGGAAGACCAGGGAACGCTGGCAGTATGGGGCCACCAGGGCAGCTTCCACAGCATCCATGTCCCTGGGTCAGGCCTGGCACATGGCAGACACTCAACCAACTTCTGTTCAATTGATTCTAAATATGATTCTTTGAGTGAACAGAACTCTGGGGAACCCACGTCATGTTGGCCAGAAGAGAGCATGGAGATGGCCACCTGGGCGTTTTCCAGGCTGAGCTAGGATGGGAGGCTGCCCTTGGTGGGTCTTCCAGAGCTCACCTGGCAGGTGGTGGTGGGCAGGGCATGAGAAATGTGTTCCCCCAGGACTCCTCCCTCTTAAGAAGGTATAAATTATTTCACATTAGCTACCCAGTTTACTTTTCAATATTTCCTTACCTACTTAGGACTCAGTTTCTTATTGTGCCAAATGAGGGGAGTGGGCCCTGCTTCCCAGGTTCATCCCAGCTCCCACAGAAATGGCTGCGGCATCTCCTGGCCCCCTGGCTACCATGGGTCTAGGTTGCGAGGATCTGCTCCGCAACTGCAGTCTGTGGTTCTGATCAGTCAGAGCACAGGGCAGAGCAAGACCAGCCTGCAACTGGAGCACCTGCACAGGGCAGCTTTCCCAGGGGACCTGAGAGACAGTGACCTGCCTCCTGGGAAGGGGACTGCCAATCCCAGCCAGGGAAAGGGATGCCCCAGGATGAGAAAAGGTGGCTTTGGGGCTCTCAGATGCCTTCACTGACCCTCCCGACAGCAAGCAAGTGCTTATCCTCTGGCAAGGCCTCCTCCGCTCTTCAAACATTCCACCCATCGTGACACTTCACGAAGCTTCAGGCCAGGGTGGGCTCTCCTGGCAGCTCTTCTGGACTCCATCCAGTCACATATTCAGCTCTTGAGAGAAGCAGTGGTGTGGATAATTCATAGCACAGAATACCAAAGCCAGTTACACCTGTTCTGCAGATGCAGAGTGTGTGTGTGTGTGTGTGGGTGTGGGTGTGGGTGTGGGTGTGGGTGTGTGTGTGTGGTGTGTTTTCTTCCTTTCTGGAACCACATTTTCTTTTCTAATTCTGTTTCCCTTTTGAAAGTAGGTACCAGTTAAACTCTAAATGCAAGAAGACAGCACCATCATTAATCAATTTGTTGGGGAGAGTTTTCCAGAGTTTCCAAATTCACTGTGCATAATCTGGGTAATCCACCCATGAAAAACAAAGAATTGTGGTTAATAATTCCAAGATGACTAGTTAGAGTAATGGACAAACAGAGCAACCTCTCTGTTGCTCTCTCCACAGAATTCCCTGGACTAGATGAGAATTCAGATGTCATCCGACCCAGTGGTCACCAAACCTAATGATGATTGCAACTGCTCAGGAAACTTTTTAAAATGTAGATTCACAGGCTCCCACCAAACCCACTGAATCACAATTCCCAGGTGGTGTGGCCTAGAAATATGTATTTTTATAAAACTGTGGTCATGATCTAGTTGACAAATTAGGTTTGGGAGCCTGATCTACCCTGTCCCCAGAATGAACCGGTCCTCCACTGGTCTCCTCAGCACATCGATGTCAGGTCTTTCTCTCGGTTAATGTGCTCCAACATCAGTTACCTTCATCCTCCATACAGTGGCACATCAACTATTAGCTCCTCTCTGGACAGCCCAAGACAGATTTGCTAACATGCCAGGACTCCGGGACTCAGAACAGCTACCCCAGATATTCTGGCTGCTACGACCCTTCTTTCCTCCTGTCTGCACTGTAAAAGGATGGGTGCTAAGATGCTAGTGCCACCCTGGGCAGAGATGGGCAGAACTTTGGCAGCAAAGCCTGTGCATGGAACTCTTGGTTTAAGGCACTTAAAAATGGTTCTTGGCTGCAAGACTGGTGCATCTAGTGCATGCCCCAAGGTGGACACTCAAAATCTTTTGTTGGTGAATTAATGGAAGGATCATTTCTGGGGCATTTTGAAGGGGATCAGAGGGTAGGAAGACTCTAGCCAGGGCAGAGGGTGGAGGGTCTTTACCAGATTGTCCAGTTCTGGGTCATCGCTGAAGAAGGGTTTGTGCTCCTGCTCCTGCTGGTGGACAAAGTTCTCGATGTCCACATCAAAGCTGGCGGAGGTGATGCACTCAGAGCCCTGGGTGGCCTGTTCACATTTCTCAAACAGCAGCGTCAGGAGCGGGAAAAGAGGGTGCCTGCGGGGACATCAAGAGCTCACACATGCGCACACACAGAGACCGTGCTGCTACCTGTGCTCAGAAGCCACCAGACTCCCCTGCCCACTTTCCCATAACTTCTCCCAAGGTCCCACTCCTTGATAACATCCCCAGTCCCCATGGTCAATCTAGATGGCAGCACTTTGTGCCTTGGCAAGGAGGGTCTGCTCTTCCAGCTTCTGGGCTTAAGAGGCTCCTGTCCCTACCCTCTGGGCTCCTACCTTTTCTCTTTGGTCAGATAAACTGCATGAATATTTGGGGAGGGGTGAAGGGTTATAAACCTTCCAAGAAGTAGGTGTCCATTTCTGGCTCAGAGTCAACCTAGGAAGGAAAGGTGGGGAGTGTCCAGAGAAGTCCTGGATGTGAACATTAGCGGTAGGTCATAGATCCATTCTTGGCTTTCTGGAGCCAGCTAAGGGTGGCAGATGTGCACAAACACTTGTGTGCTTGCAAGTGCATGCAGGAGACATACGTGAGCCTGAAGACTCATCCACACGTGGTGGGCGGATGTCTCCACCTGTCCTGAGTCTTGGTAGATTCAGTTTAGGTCAGATACCCCAGTGCGTTAGGTCATCACACAATGATGCAATGATTATTTACATCACTATGTGATGCAAATCATTTGCTCACTGTTTTCCTCCAAGACTCTACCTGACTTAGTGATCCTGATATCCCTAAGACCTTGGTATGCATGCTCATAGCAGACACTTAATAAATATTTGGTGAATGAAGGAATCGATGAGTGAAAAGACTGTGTGTGGTGGTCGGGGCGGGGGGTTCTACGACATCTATATGTGAGCCAAAGTGTTTACCTAAATGGCTCTCTGGATCTTATCTTGGAGATCAGCAACTCTTAAAAGCTTTTCTGACTCCTGACCTCCATTCCCCCACCGCCAAACCTACACTGATAGTCCCTGAGTTGTTTGTTTCATTGTCTGCCTTCCTCACTAGACTGTGAGCTACATGAGGGCAGGAACCTAGCTCACCTTACTTATCACTATATGTCTAAAGTCTAGTCAGATGTATGTGAATTTACCAAAAAGTATTTGGTAAATATATATGTTATGTGTGTAGGCGTATTTGTGTGTATAAGTCCACAGCACCTTTATTTCTGCAGTATGTGTGCATGGGTTGTTGACACTGGACTCCAGAGAGCCCCATTCCCTTCCACTGCAGTTCCAAAAATGCATCTGCACATCCCTCTCTGTCCTGTCTCCCCAGACTCCTGGGACTATGCAATGTAGGTTTTTAAAATTTTTGTATTTTTATTTTTTTGGACGTACTCCCATTTGCTGGGCAAGAAGGAGGAATGTATGTTGAACCTGAACCTGGCCCCCATGCCTCTGCCCAAGGGGATGGTCTAGCCAGTGCTGTGCAACAGAACTTTCTGCAATGGTGGGAATGTTCTGCAATCTCCACTGCCCCATATGGCAGCCACTAATCCCGTGAGGCCAATGGATACTTGAAATATGTAACTAGGACTCTGAACTTTTAATTTTACTTAATTTTAGTTACTTTAAATTTAAGAGGTTACATGTGGCTAGTGGCTACCATACTGAAACAGTAAGTCTTTTTTTTTTTTTTTTGACGGAGTCTTGCTCTGTCATCCAGGCCGGAGTGCAATGGCATGATCTTGGCTCACTGCAACCTCTGCCTCCAGGGTTCAAGTGATCCTCTTGCCTCAGCCTCCCAAATAGTTGGGATTACAGGTGCCCACCATCATGCCCGATTAATTTTTTTTTTTTTTTTTTTTTAAAGCAGAGACAGGATTTCACCACTTTAGCCAGGCTGGTCTAAACTTCTGACCTCAAGTGATCTGCCTGCCTTGGCCTCCCAAAGTGCTGGGATTACAGGTGTGAGCTACCGCATCCTACCGAGAACACAGTAAGTAAGGCAAACAGACCATGGTCTCCCCTCCAGCACCCCATGACTGAGCACACAGAGAAGGACTGAATGTCTAGCCTATATGGTATTTGCAAGTGGGTGGGGGAACCCCTAGGAGCCTGTCCATCTTGGAATTCTAACAATTTTGGATAAAAAGACAGAAAGTGTGTCCCCCCATCCACACTCACATGCATTTTATGGCTCTTTCTACTCAGACTCAGGGGTGGTGAGGAGGAAAAGAGAAATTTCTGCTCCAGAGGAGCTGCTAAGCTTGGCAGAGCCTGTCCCTGCACACTCTCTCCCCGACCCTGGTTTTGGAAGCTGATGCCTAAACTGCTGGGCCCCAGGGCTGCAGACTGGGTGTGCAGTCTGCAGAAAAAAAGTGTCAATATTTAAGGGTGGCCTATTCGCTGCCCCAAATTGCCAGAAGATCCATTGAGAAAGATCTACCAGGAAGCTGGTAGGGAAAACAATGGGTTAGCTTAGCCATTCGGCTGGAGACAAAGAGAAAACCAGGTGAAGGGGTTAAACTCCAGTATAAGTCTTCATTTGCAGCCACTAATACTGCAGCATATTATAGTCTAATCTAACCTGATCCCAGTTTAATGCAAGATTCTCCTGGCCCTGAGTGGAATACCAAAGAAAGCCTCAGTGGCTGTAATTTAAGCAGAGCCTGCAGTGGCTTAGCTGAGGGACATGAAAGGCAAATTCCAGACGGTGTTATGAATTATTGCGCCTTATGAACCTCCCTACTCTCAACAGATGCCTGCTGCCATTTAAACAGCCACTAGATCAATTAGGAATGAAAGGCACAAATCGACTCTGTACAAGGGCACTAAATTACCAGGAACTAATAATCCACAGCATCGTGCCAGGTGGTGGGGGTGCAGCCCCCGCCCCAACCCCATGGCAGCTGCGGTCACCGCACATTCCTTTCTCACTGGTTAGTTGGAGGGAGGGGATAAAGGGTGTGTGTGCGTGTGTGTGCGTGCACGTGCATATGCATGTGTGTGCACCAAGGGTGTATGCAGGCTGTCAATGAGAGCAAGTGTTGTGTGGGGTCCTGTGTGTTTTCATTGTGTGCACACACAGTGTTGTGCTAATGCTGTATATATGCACAGATGGGTAGTGTATGTAACTGGGGTGCTGATTTTGCGTGCTGTGAGCACAGTGTGCCTGTTCTCTGTGCTGTTTGTATGCAATACGTGTGTATGTGTACAGGGATGGTGTCTTCTGTGTACACAGTATGAGTGGCATGTGGGGTAAGGAAGAGAGATCTGCCACGACTGTGTCCCCCAGCTACTAGCACTAGGCTTTGGGTAGGGAGGGAAGGGTGATCTCCTCTGCTTCTGTCCTTGCTTCTGCAGGGAGGAGCAGCTTTTCTTAGAGTGGTCAGGGAGGGCCTCTCTGCGGAGGTGACATTTAAGTTAAGCCTGGGATGATGAGACGTAGTCATGCAAAGAGCTAAGGGATCGGCATTCCAGCAGGAGAAAAAGCAACGTATTTGAGACAGAAATGAGCTTGCACGTTTCTGGAACAAAATGTAGCCAAGTGTGGCTGGAGCCAGGCGGGCAGGTGGGGAGTGGAGGGAGATGAGGTTGAAAAGGCAGCAGGAGTCACATCATGAGGTACCTCGTGACAGAGCTGGGCTTGCAGGGATCGGGTGGGAGGCATTGTCACATACGCCAGGGAACATGCACCTCCTCTGCAGAACCCCAGCCAGGGTCTGTCTTCTAAACCTCCTTCACTTCCAGGTGGCGGATGTCCCCAGAATGGCTATGCGTGTGTATGTGGGGGCATATCTGGGGGAGGTTTCCGTGGCTCCTGCTGTCTCAGAAGAAAGGAACATGCTGCCCATCCTTCCCTCCAAGTTAACTAAGAGCCCATGGAGCACAGGGCAGACTTCACAGGTACTGGCCTGGCACCCTCTCTCCAGCTGCTCTGCAACCTGAGGACTGAGCAGTCAGGGTTGAAGGACAGACAGCAGTACTGTCAGCCCCCAGATCCTCTCTTCTCCTATCCCAGACTCCCCTGACTCCAGCGTCTGGTTCCTCCCACCTCATCCCAGAGCCCTGTTGGTCTCTCAGAGCTCAGATGGCACCTGAGATCACTCACAGCTTTTCCTGTGATCCATGGTCATGGTCAGTGGGGTGCCTGTGGCTCCCATGCTCCATCCACCTGGCTCACTTGATAAACCCAGATACTACCTTCTACCTTATGCACGTGGATCCCTGAGACACTGCACTGTGCCCTGAGAGAGAGGCTGTTTCCCAGCGACTCCATGGATTTTGTGGCTGCAGCATGGTCCTGGGCTTCTCTCAAGCTGTTTCCAGCACAGTTATGGGAGAGTCACTTACCCTTTCCCAGGTGCCCAGTCTGTACCTGCCTAAAGGCTGACCTGTATTTTCTAAGCTACCCTCCAACATCACCCCCTAAGGCATGAGAGGAGGCTGGCAGCCACTTTGGAAAAGTTCTTCCCAGCAGTCTTGACTGCAGGCTTGGGGGTCCACCCTGAGGGCAGGGCCCACGAGAGCTGCCATCAAAGCCACCTGCAATACAAATGGCCCTGAGTGAACCAGGGATGGGTGGGGAGAAGGATTCCCAGTTAGAGGAGAGACTTTGGCCTTCCCTGAGCCTCAGTTTGTCCCACTACAACATGGTTTTTCAGGAGTGCTTCTTCCCGCTGTCCAGATATCTTCTGCTCTGGGTCCATATCCTCCATGGGCTAGAAGCAGGGATGTGGACACCTGGTCTCCAGTGCTGAGTGTCGATGACGATGAGCGGGATGTAAGGAATGGTCATTAGACTTTATATCCAAAGAGCTGAGGACATGTGACCTCCATAAGAGCTCACCTTCTCCCTCCCAGACCCCTTCTTCACTCTTCTCTCCCCACGTCACCTCCCTCCCGACCGCCCCCTCCACCCCAATCTCTCTTAAGCCGTTCAAAATTTGGAGGAAATAAATCTCGCTGCACTAATTCAGTGAGAGTTTGAGCCTCGTCAGTGCAGAACAAATAAAAGGAGTGAACTGGCATGACATTTTACTGCAGAAGAGAGGTCGTTTCCAGCCACTAATAAAAAGGATTTGACACAGA